ATCAACATTATCACAAGGAACAAATGTTACTAGGTCACAATTAATACCATCTGATCAATTATATCGTCAAGCAAAAATTTATGAAGAAAATCGATGTTTAAAGAAAAAAATCAAAACCTGATGATGAATCATCAAAAAAAGGAAATAAATCATTGAAAAAATCTAATATAACAGTAATCAATGATAATTATGATGATATTTATTGAATTGCTAAAGTAACACGTGGTGGTGAATTACCAGAAGGTGCTGCAGAAAGTGGAAATGAAGACAATGATCATGATGTAATTGTTGGAAAAAATAAAAAATATGATCCACATCGAGCACTTAATATTGACTTAAGTGAAAAACCTATTCAATCGATTCCTACATCACCACCACTGTTGACATCTCAATTAAAAGAACCAGTTCCTAAACAAATTGAAACACCTCCTATATTAACTGGAAAGCCAAAAAAATCTAAGAAAAAGAAAATAATTGAAAAACAAGAACAATCATCAACATTGAAATCAAAACACAAACGAGAACGTAGTGATTATAAAGAATTATTATCACCAGCTGATGAGGAAGAAAATTGTCCAACTTCAACACCTCCTCCTTCTGCTATTGCAAAGAAACCAAAGAAAAAAAATCATCGTCAGAAACAAACCACTTCTATTGGACATTATGACAGATGATATTCATCTAACAAATCAATCTGAGTAACAATACAATGAACAAGATACTTATAAACTAGTTGCTCAATCTGACAATTGTAAGTTCAATAGTTATTCTAGTTTAACCAATAGATGAGGAAACTTCGCTAAGCGATAAAATACTTTTTCTCATTAGATAGATTCTATTGAGATTTGAGAAAATCTATGCTACCTTCTTGAATGATGTCTATTGTATTAAGTTTTCAGCATAATCCTATAGTTCCGTCCGATTTCAATTTGTTATAAAGTTTGATATATTATTTATTTTTAGGAATATTCAATTAATCCAGATCCATCAATAGCTCAACTTGATGTAACATTTCTTTTAAAAAATCGAACATCATTTATTATTGGTCATATTAATATTCATTGTATTGATAGTATGAGTTCGAAATTATTAAATACAACAAGTACAAATTCAATATCATTTCCATTTATAAGTATTTTTCCTCATTCACAAAATTATATTCATATTTATTTTTCTATAAATGCTATATTATTTTCTCAAAAATTAAAAACAACATTAACTTATTCTATAAATGTATGTTGAAAAAAAAAAGAAAAAAAAACAGATTTTTTATCATTATCTTTGATAGGCATATTTAGAAATCAAATATAATTGAAACAGATAGAATTGAATTTAAACTTAATTTGCCTTGTTCACAATATTTACGACGAAAGACTATTGATTCGTAAGAATGGATTTTTTTAGTAAATTATTTAATACATATATTTTTTTTTGAAGTATTGTATTTGCTGATTTGATGAGTTCGGGTGCATTGATATGTCAATCACAACTTCGTATTTCATCATCTAATCAAGACTTTCTATTGATGATTAATACAATTTGTCAATTTTATCGATTAACTGGTTAGAAAAAGAATTTAAATAAATCGTTTTTTTTATATTTAAGTTTTTAATTTAGTTGTCGAAAAAATTAATTCAGCTGCATCTTTATATGCTGAAACAATTCTTGAACAACCAATAGCTCTTTTATTTAAATCAATAGTATGTATGTTTTGAGATTTTCATTAATAACCAAACTAAATAATTTTTATTTATTTAGTTCTAATCTCATGAAAGAAATAAAAGCATCATTAAAATAATTTTTTTTCTTGTCTCTCTTTCTTTATTTCATTTATTTATTCTTATTTTTATTTTTATTCCATAGACAATATCTATATATAAAGCGAAAAGATAAATAACAACTGGCAAACAGTGATCTTTTATTTTGTTGCATCTATTATCTTTATTTACAAAAAAAAATCTCTCTTATGTATCAGATAATAAGTATAATTGATCTTCTGACACATAAAAAAATATGTTCTTTGTTTTGTTTTATTCTGAATGATTATAGTCAATTCTAATATGTATGCATATTTTCTGTTTTTTGTTTTTTTTATTTGCTATAATTCGAACACTATATATATATATTTATAAAATGAGAAAAGTTAATGATAAACTATTTAATCATTCTCGATTGGTTTCAAATGATTAGAAGAAAGAAACTTTTCTTTTTTCATGAAACTTATTAAATTTCCAAGTGAAATAAGTACCGATGAGCTGGATCAACCGTTAATTGTCTTGATCTTGGATAGAAAAAGATTTTTAGTTCTGAGTTCGACAACTCTATTGTTTAAGAAAAGAAAATGGATTATTTTACTATGAAAATTAGAACAGCAAATAT